GAGGGGAAGACCCTCTATGAGATGGATTGATTCGGTGACTGGGGTAATCGGGATGGGTGTGTCAGAGGCAGTGCGGTTGGCGCAGGATAGAGCAGGGTTTTGGGCTGTTGTGCATAGGGTCGCTATGAGTCGCAAACGACTCGACGGCACATAACAACAACAACAACAACAAATGTAAAAAAAAATACCACAAATATTACCCTGTACTCATTTGAGCAGAAATGAAAATATAGTTTTACTTCCTTTCTCAGTAATTAAAAGCAACTGGGGTAGAAATTCTACATAATTTTTTTTCCCCTCATGAAAATACTAGCAAGCTTTAAAATTACTAACAAGTTAGAATTGTATACATTTTTGTATGTGTTTGTGTGTGTGTGTGTGTGTGTGTGTGTGTGTACACCATCATATCAGATCTGACTGGTACAGGAGACTGCTCTTCTGGGAATGCAGTGCAGCTTTTGCCACCAGCCCACCAGAGTTCCCTAGAATTTTATACATTTTATAAATTGTTGCTTCCTTAAGAAGGAAAATTTTTATGATTTAAAATGAATTCACGTAGGAAATACTATTTTAAGAGCCCTTAATTGAAAAATCAGTAGGCTACACAAATATCCCTGGGTAGGGGACGGCGGAAGGGGAGGGAGCGGAAGGCGGTAAAATTCTCTTAATTTTTTTTTACAAAGAAATTGTCTTTTTTATTTATGGGTTTCTCATTCAGGAATAGGGGCTGCTTCATGTTAAACAGGGGTGCTGAGATGAAGGGGAAGGAGAGCCCCGTTTAACACTTTACTGGCGGTCTTGTGTTGAAGCTGCAGGCCTTCTTGTTCAGTTAAGGATAGTAAAATACTCTTAACTTATATAAGATAAATGTAAAATTAGCCCAAACAGCTTAATAAAGAGAAAACCACCATCTCATGTTATCATGGAGAAACCATTCAGTGTGTTGTCTACATTACACAACATGGTACAGACAGTTGTCTTTCAGTCCCATCATTCAATACCGACTCATAGCTGACCCTCCAGCAGGTTTTCAGAGGCTGTAAACTGCGTGAGAGGAGACTGCCCATCTTTCTCTCATGAAGCATCTAGTAGATATGAACCACTGCTCTTTGGATTGCTAGTGCAACTCCTTGTTCATGAAGCCACCAGAGTTTCCATCAGAATTTTGTGCTGCCAGTTTAGTGCCAGAGCAAATACTCTGAATTAATCAGCACTACTGAAAACACCCTTCACAGGGAGCTCTGATGGCTTAGTGGCAAGAAGCAGCACTGCAATCCTGAAGGTGTGTGGTTCGAATCCACCAGCTGCTCTGCTGGAGAAGGAGGGGCAACTTCCTCCTGTGCCAGTTGGATCTGATTTGATGGCGCACAACAAGGAAATAAATAAATACAACCCCCCAAAAAATAAATCCACAAATCACCCTTCACTAATAAAACTGAGGGCTCTTTGGTGGCTAAGTCCACAGTAAATTGTGTTGCTAGGCAAGCTCTGGTGGCCTAGTGGCAAGAAGCTGCACTGTAATCCCAGAGGTGCGTGGTTCAAATTTATCAAATGCTCTGCTGGAAAAGGATGGGCAATCTCCTCCTGTACCTGTCAGATCTGATTTGACGGTACACACAAAAAATAATAAAAGAATAAAATTTTTTAAAAAATTATTTTTAAAAAAATTGTGTTGCTAACCTAAAGTCAGTTGGTTAGAATCCACCAGCAGCTCTGCAGAAAAGAAGATGAACAATTTCCTCCCCTGCAATTTACAGCCTCAAAAATCATGCTGGAGCGTCAGCGGACTCAGCTCCCACTTGCCAGCAGTGAGTGTGGGCTGAGTTTTGAGTCAAGGTGGCATCTAACTCAAGTCAAGTTATGAAGAACCTTCTTCCTGGGTGATTGTTTAATCACTTGTAATGTCTGTGCTGTTCCAGGTTCTGCCCACTGTCATCCAGGATCTCACGGCAGCCTTTCTCGGGTGTGTGAGGCTCTATGTACATTTTATTTTATTATTATTTTTGTGTGTCTGTGTACCGTCAAATCAGATCTGACAGGTACAGGAGGAGATTGTCCTTCCTTTCCCGGCAGAGCATCTGGTGGATTCGAACCATGGGCCTCTGGGATTGCAGTGCAGCTTCTTGCCACTAGGCCACCAGAGCTCCTCTCTATGTACATTTTTAGAAAAGGAACTGCCCCTTTTCTCCCATGGAGCTGCAGCCAGAGTCAACCCTCCCACCTTCTGGTAGCAGCCCAATGCATCATGAGCTGTACCCTCAGGACTCTCAAACAGCTACTTTTGTTGCTATGTACTGTTGAGTCCAAACGGACCCACAGCTGACCCTCCAGCGGGTTTTCAGAGACAGTAAATTGCATGGGAGGAGACTACCCATCTTCTTCCTAAGCAGTTACTGGATTCGAACCATGTGTCCTTGGGACTGCAGCACAGCTTCTTACCACTAGGCCACCAGAGCTCCCTCAACCTCATAGACTCCCTCAAGCTAATAGACCTATTTAAAGCTACAGTCAAGAATTCTCCTTTGGTGTCATCAAAAGTTAGATTAATATAAGACAATCCCTCTTCCCTCCAGGCTTTTTTTAAAGAGAAAAGGTGCTTCTGATCTAAGGAAGATGTGATTTTTTAAATTATCAATAAAAAGAAGAAGTTAGAAGTAAAAGGTGACGGTAAATTCTAAACAGGCTGGTTCCAGTGCTGGGAGCACTCAAATGTCTAACTGAGGCACGACCTTGGGTAAGGCTGGAGGGAGGGGAGAGAACAACAGGGGTACCCACAAAGAGAAATCAAGAAACACTACGGGGGCTGGAAATAGTTGCCCAAGTTTGCGCACCAGCATCACCAGGAGGAGCTACAGCCACACAGTCCACACTGCATTCAGCGTCAGCTGCCAGTGTGAGTCAGCTGCTGTGGGTGACGAGACGCTCAAGTGGAACCAGCCAGGCAGCAGAAGACAGCAGCAAACGCTTCTGACAGTGACCCAGGACACAGAACCAAACATAGGGAAACGGGGTCCTTACCACCAAACGTTTCTGCAAGGTTCACATCGTTTTCACTGATGTCACCCACTCCGAAATGGACTAATTCTAGTTTACACTCGTCTGAAGCATCATAGGTATCGATAATGTCCAAAATGGCTTCGACAGAACCGTCAACATCACCTAAACAAAGTCAAAGTTTTAAGCTGATGTTAACGAGTACAAACAAAAAAATGAAAATCTATTTAAAGCATTAGTTGTTGTTTTTGTTGTCAAGTGCCGTCGAGTCGTAGACAACTCATAGTGACTCTATGAACAAAAGACCTGAACACTTTCATCATTTCCCCAAGTTCACACGGATTCCGGAGGCAAGCTATTTCAGAAGTGGATGCCACTCCTGCTTCCAAGCTTGTTTTAATCGGGGGGCTCCACCAAACACTGTCCACCATGGGTGACCATTATCACATTTGACACATCAGTGTCACAGTGTTCGGCATCACAGCAACCACAAATTACCGCTGTACAGCAAATGGACAGACCAGTGCTATTCCACTTAGAAGAATGTTTGACCAAAGACAATTAAAACCAGGCCTGAGGACCGCAGACTAGAGATAACATTTACTATTAAATCCATTTTTATTTTGGTATAGCACTATCAATATATCAATATCTATCTAATATAATAAAGTATAACAAATCAAAGGCACACTGTAAACAAAACTAAGAAATATATTTTCTGAGAAAAATCATCCCCAAATATTGACATATTTTTTACTTCATTTAAAAGCCCAAACTAATTGTAAGAATAAAGAAAAACATATATTCTAGAAATAAGAATCTTTTAAAAGGTACCTTTAATGATTATAGGAAGTACATGTAAGTCTCTTTCTACTCTTTCTTTTTGCTTTCCGGAGGTGTGTTCCTTTCTCTCCTGGTATTTTAAATACGACCTTTCCTTCCAGTGCACACTGCCGTACTTCTCCCGCGCTTTGCGATGTGCTTCTTGGTGTTCCTTTCGCTTTTCTTCGACTAGTTTAAGATCATCTTTATTTCTCTCCTGTTCCTGCTCATACTTCCTCCAGTTAACAACTTCGTGCGCCCTTGCCTTTATTAGAAAAACAGCAACAACAACACAAAGCAGCCTGGAATTAGACAGAAGCCAACAACCGCTGGGCAGACAGCTTTGCATTTTCCTTCATTGTGAAATTAGCCCAACTCACATACAAAACTAACATTATATTTCATGAATTATATACATTTTGTGTGTGTGTAACTGAAATGATCTATTGTAAAAAACAAAACAAAACAACGTAAAATAAAGTCAGTAGTCAAATTCTAAAATGGCATTGGTAGCCTTTCAGTGCTCTTGTATTCTCGAATTATTTGTTAAAAGTCTTATACTATTCAGTGTAATGTTTAAGAATAATATAAAATGTTTTTCAGTGTAACATTTTATGCTAGGAATCCTTATAGTATATCCAGTACACAGGATCTGATCTTTCTGTACCTCAGATTCCACTTCAAGGATCTCGTCTCCGGCCGCAGGGAGGTCCCTCCAGCCCACTATCCCCACGGGCATGCTGGGGCAGGCCTCCTGCATGGTCCTGCCGTTCTCATCAAACATGGTGCGGACTTTTGCCCAACACTTTCCCGCAACCAAAATTGAGCCTTTCCTCAAAGTTCCTCTTTGAATTATTGCCGTAGTGACTGGACTAAAATGGAAATAAAAGTATACGTTTATTCCTAAGGTTACAGTCAGGAAGTAATTGTGTTTCTTTTGTAAAACTAACATATCTTTAAGAAGTTTAAAAACACACAAATGCACAGAGTGGATTCATCTCATCATCATTTCTCAACAGAAATGGTTTTTCACGCAATGAAACATTTCCTGTAACATTTCATTGAGGGGAGGGGTCAGGAGGCAGAGAGTACTGATGAACACCTAATGCCCTTTCTGTAACAGTATTACACAGTAAGAAGGCTTCTCCGGCTGATACAAAGGGACATTCAAGAAGAGAACATCATTTTCAAGATCTTACTATTTATGGTAAATATGTGTCAGAAAGCTGTACAATGACCAGGGATGATAGAAAAAGAATTGATGTCTTTAAGGAAGGAGCTGGAGAAGAGGATTGAATATACCAGGGACTGCTAGAAGAACAAACAGGTTCGTCCCAAATAGGGTCAGACCAGGCTGCTCCTTAGAAGCAAAGATTCTGAAGCTCCATCTGACATACTTTGGACATGTTGCAAGGAGGGACCGATCAATCCTTGGAGAAGGCCATCATGCTTGAGAGGGTAGAGGGACAGGGCAAGAGAGGAGGACCCTGGATGAGCTGGATTGATTCAGTCACTGGGGTAGTGAAGGTAGGAGTGACAGAGGCAATAAGGTTGGCACGGGATAGAGTTGGTTTCAGGGCTATTGCGTATAGGGTCATTAAGAGTCACAAGTGACTTGACAGCACATAACAATAACAACAATTTACAGTATCAGTAGATAAGGCCATGGAGACCTAGAAAATCTACAATAGAAGCATTGATATTCCACTCCAACTTTTACGTTCCTCTATGACGCACTGCCAACTTAGTCAGTGAAAAAGAAAGGAAATAAAATTTCAAGTCACTCAAATATGACTGCTAGATGCAGGGACGACAGAAGCTATAGTCTACCAAGAATAACCAACATTTTGATGCTTTGTTTGCCAGGAAAATAACATTTTTAAAAAAAAATAAATGCTTTAACAATACTATTTATCAACAACAACAACACAAAACCACCCAAAAATACAAAAAAACCCTAACAAACCAGCAAGCAAAAATCAAGTCAGAAGAATCATAGAAAGGAACTATTTAAAAACTAAGAACTTTAGAAGTCTCACCCTCTTCCTTTGTCTGTGAAAGACTCTATGACAGTGCCTTCCACAGGACCAGTGGGATCGGCCTTCAGTTCCAACATTTCTGCAAGAGCAGTTGTTGCTTCTGCCAAAGCCATCAGGTTATCGCCCTTGAAAAACAACAATCAATGTATCAATGGTCACCATGAGGAGCAAGCGATTCGATGGCACGTAGCAGCAACAACATGAATGTAAATAAATACCACAGTAGAAGAGCAAAAAGATCCTGGATGGTTAAGTATTCTAACCATCAAAGTCATGAATTAACCATTTTAAAAAAGAAAAAGGCAATCAGCCAGAACATTTGAGTAAGGGACAGTTTTCTCAAGGAATAAGTGGTCATTTTTAAAGGACGGTCACTGATGGTACTTGCTAATTCTCTTTCATAAATACAGGCTTCATGTATTCTCTTTTGCCTAAATGTGTTTCTGCAATTTTGTTTTCTTCTCATTAACCTGCTTACCAATGCTATTTCACACTTGAAGAGAGATTACTAGAGAATTGATTTTACTTGTCCATCTGCTTTTCCTAGTATTCCTTTCAACTTGCAGAACACTTACAAAAGGTGGAGCTAGGTTGTTTCTTTGCAAGAAGTCATCACCCTTCATTTCTCTTCAGCCATGAAAACAATGGTCTCATCTTACTTCCCCGATGCTCTCCTCCAACTCTCCCTACCCTTTAACACCTTTCCTTTTGAAAAATGGATTATGTCTTTTGTTAAAAATTTACACAGTAAATTAGATTGCCACTTTATCATTTTGACACAATTAGTTCAGTGACTCTGTCGATACTTTGAACTGTGTGGCAGTGTTCTCACTATTTCTGTTCAGGCCGCTCTACACCCAATAATCAAGTCACTCTGTCTTCCTGCCTCTTCCTCTTTGCTTTAGAGGAAATGCTGACTGTCTGGTCTCAGACAGATATTGTTTTAAGGGAGCACAACACTCATTAAGTGGTTCTGTTTATTTTATGAGCCCATCTATTATTTATATCATGGAATAATTTTGGTTGAATGTTTGAGTAACTCAGGGCAATAGTCTCAGGAGTCCCCAGCCTCTATCTCCATTACTTTATTATTCAAATTGCTACGTACTCAAGAGCAATGATGGAGACTAAGGGGTGCCTGATTCAGGCCATAGTCTTTGTAATTACTTGCTATGCATCAGAGAGCTGGACAATGACTAGAGATGACAGAAGTAGAATTGATGCCTTTGAGTTGTGGTGCTGCAGAAGAGTATTGAATATACCATACACTGTCAGGAGAACAAACAGATTCATCCTGGAGAGGGTTAAATCAGGCTACTCCTTGGAGGCAAGGATTCTGAAGCTTCATCTTACATATTCTGTACATTCTGCAAGGAGGGACCAGTCCTTGGAAAGAAATTTCATGCTTGGAAGGGTGGAGGGACAGTGCAAAAGAAGAAGACCCTTGAGACTGATTGACCTGGTGACTGGGATAATGGGGGTAGGTGTGTCAGAGGCAATAAGATTGGCACAGGATAGAATAGGGTTCATAGCTGTTGTACATAGGGCTGCTATGAGCCACAAGCGACTCGACAGCACATAACAACAACATTAGCTAAGAAGTGGGAATTATTAGGAATTCGAGTCCGGGTCTGTGTGTTTCTGCTATCAGGATCCATCAACTATAACCCTGGTCTGGCAGAGGCAGCGGGCAGCAGCCCGTTCTGGCCCTGCGGTGGATGAGCCTGGGGTTCAGGGAGACCAGTGGTGCCATGGGGTACTTTCTTCTTCGAGTCTCTAGCTCCCTTCCTTTTCTTTTACTCAGAACACACAGAGGCCACCAGTTTTAACTGACATGGTCATTCACTAACTTTTAAGAACCCAGATGCTACTCACCAACCTAGTATGTAGGATATAAACTTTATATGCTGTGTATTACCCCAACTGACCAAGTCGTCTCACAAGACTGTGATTCAAAGCCTTCATAAACCAGTCCTGTGAGGCGTTTGGTATAACTAAGATGTATCAGTGTGGTGCCCATTGTGTACTTTACTGAACATCTATGAAGGGCTATCCTTTCACTGCTGCATAAAACAGTTGTTAATTATAGTCCTGGCATCCCCAAATTATTCACCATATATCCTATGTTCTGTCTTGTAAGAAGAGAATCATTAGATTTAGACTTGAGTCCCCACTGATGAGCTATGTGTCCCTAGATTGATAAAGTGACATTTCTGAGCCTGACTTTGAAGCCATCAGACAGTCACACAAGCTTTCTCTAATACCGACATAATTTTTAAAATGACAATGGAAATAATGCTCTCTGAACATAAAACACGCCGTGTGTGCAGGGCTCGTGTCACCGGCTGGGCTCGTGTCACCGGCCGGGCTCGTGTCACCGGCTGGGCTCGTGTCACCGGCTGGGCTCGTGTCACCGGCCGGGCTCGTGTCACCGGCCGGGCACGTGTCACCGGCCGGGCACGTGTCACCGGCCGGGCTCGTGTCACCGGCCGGGCTCGTGTCACCGGCTGGGCTCGTGTCACCGGCTGGGCTCGTGTGAGGCTGAGCAGCCGCGTTTACCGTAAGCGCAGAGACAGACACTGCTTGGACGTCGCCCCCATAGTCTTCACACACCACATCGTAAGCCAGCAGCTCTTTTTTCACCTTTTCAGGGTCAGCGTCAGCTTTGTCACATTTGTTTATGGCAAGGACAATAGGAACTGAAAGAGGCGGATTTAAGAAAGATGAAAACAATTCAATTTGACGGTACATACACAAAAAATAGTAACATTTAAAAACAAACAAACAAGAAAGATGAAAACAGTGGTCCCTTGAACCCCAGGCATTCCCAGCGAAAGACGGCAGTCTCGTCTTGTGTTCTCACCACTCAGCACCCGGACTTCCCTAACAGAAGTTTTGACAGCCAGCTTTCAAGTTGTTCTACCTACTCTCATCTCTATATGTAAGGATGGTGTCCAGCTGTCAGAATTTAAGAATGCAATTTTAGTCAGACTTCAGTTAAGAACAGACACCTAAAATCAGAAGAACCCTATGTGCGTGGGTAAGTCTGTCTCCAAATATTAAAGCTAATTGGTGGCTATACTTACATACCCTCCAGGGGGGAAATCAAAAGAAGATTTTAAGTCAGTGTCAACAGATCGTTCAGAGGGGAGCTCTGGTGGCCTAGTGGCAAGGAGCGCAACTACAATCCCAGAGGCGCACGGTTCGAATCCACCAGATGCTCTGCCGGGAAAAGGAGGAACAATCTCCTCCTGTACCAGTCAGATCTGATTTGACGGTACACGCACACAAAAATAATAAAATAAAACAAAACAAAACAAAACAAAACAAAAAAACCCCCAGATTGTTCAGGGCTTCTTTTTAAGAACTATTAATATCCCATTCTTATAAAAAAAAATTGAAAAAAACCCAACTTTTCATTCTGGGATGAAACTCGGTATCATGACTACAAATGTTAATATTTAGAGTCATTCTTTATGCATCCATTTAATTCTGTAGTGACTCAGAACAGGTATCTTAACAATAGCTCTAGAATCTTATCAGAATGACCACATGGAATGCTTGGGTGTGTAGTGCTAGTTACTCTAATTTTTAAATGGTGACATAAAGGAGAAGATGAACAAAATCATTGTTTAAAGGTTTTGATAACATACATTTGATCTAAGAACAACATATTTTATGTAGATGAGGAGACAGTTTCTCTCTCCAGAAGAATCCCAGATAAAGGAATCCCGGAATTACAGAGTCACCACCCTGCAACCCCTGATGAAGGCAGGTGACAGCCACAGAGCAGTTAACTAGTCTTCTTCCTACTTTTGTACCTGTTTAAAATTTACCATGACAAGAAGTGTCCCGGGTTTCGGCACTAAAAAAAAGAAGTGTTTTGAAAAGTTTTTTGAGATTATTAAATTTTCACTCCCTATCAATTAAGTGAAGTGGCCAGAAGGAGTTACACTGTGGTCTCTAACCCTGACACTCAATCCTTTGTGCATCTTCTGGGGGAAAAAGAAGTGAACCATATTGACACCTTATCTGCAAAGCTGTTACAATCATCCAGATCTTGTGGTACAAGCTGCACTCAAACATCCCCAAACACAGGCTTCCTGCAGAGCTTCCTGCAGACCCTTTGAAAGCAGCCCCCATGTCCCCCAGCACGGCCGTACCTTGGGCATCTTGGGCGTGCTGAATAGATTCTACCGTTTGCTTCATCACACCGTCATCTGCTGCTACCACCAGTATGACAATGTCAGTGACCTGGGCGCCTCGGGCCCTCATCGCAGAAAAGGCCGCGTGTCCTGGGGTATCAAGAAAGGTGATCTTTTCCCCGGAAGGCAGAGAGACTGTGTAAATAGAAACCCAACATCAGCAAGACACAAAGGTGTGTTTTCTTAAATAAACAAAAAAAAAAAGAATGTAAAGGACATTATCAAAAAGAAACAATAATCCTTCTAAAGAATTCTGTTCTTTCATTTTAATCAGAATAGAGACCATCACTGCACAATAGAATACTGTATCAGTGAGGTCTTAGAATATTTTCTTTTCATCTGACAGCCTCCAGTTGAAAGCCAGCCCATTTGTAGAAGACGCAGTAACTAGTCCTAAATGCGCTGACGTTTATTGTGAGAGAGCAGGGAGTGACAGCCCCATATGGGTCACATTGGGAGTCTCCACATTAACAACCTGCACTGCACCACTTGCTGGGGCACCAAGTCCATTTAGCTAACAGCTGGGAGCTGAGAATTTAGAGTTCAGCAGCCGTGGGTTTGAATCCTGGCTCTGCCACTTCCCCACTGAGCCCTGGGTGACTGACTTCGCAAGATGAAGCATCAACCTTTTCCACTCGAAGGAGGGGTAACAGCCACCTCACAACAAACAAGACAGCGCACAGCCCAGTGCTAGGTGCATGCTAAGATCTCAGGAAGCGGCAGCTTCTACTACCAGCACCGGTTACATGAATGAAAGAATTACAGATCACGCCACTGATAAACGAATTCAGAATTTCAGGCTCATTCAGCCAAACCACAAATGAGCTAGAATAATGAAACCTCACTTTCTGAGAGAAAGTGCAAAATGACCCTTAGACCACCCACCCCACAGTTCACCAGGTCAGTGGCTTTAAGCATCAGCTCTCCCTCTGACTCTGGAGCCGTGAATTTCACCTTTGCTTTAAGAAAGTCCTGAGCGGTTCCCCGAGCACATGGTAAAGTGATTGGCATTCATACCAAGAAAGGCGCCAATGTGCTGAGTGATGCCTCCAGCTTCCATTGCGGCCACTTGAGTTTTTCGAAGTTGGTCAAGTAACGTCGTTTTTCCATGATCAACATGGCCCATTATAGTAACAACTGGGGACCTTGAGGTTAACAAAGCCGGATCTGCCGGGGGCCTACAATTAACAGCAAAGAAGTCTGATTTCCTAAGTATCAAAAAGGCTTTATAACCTGCGAACTGGTTCACAGTCATTTGTGTAAGTTTCCATTAACACCACCATGGGTAACCACTATAGCATCTGACACATCAGTGTCACAGTGTTTAGCACCACAGCAAACATGAGTTACCTCTGTACAGCAAATGGACAGACCAGTGCTATACCACTTAGAAGAATGTTTGACCAAAAACAATTAAAGCCAGGCCTGAGGGCCACAGATTAAAATCACCCACCTTTGGCTTGGTAGCATCCCTTTCTATCCACTAGGCCAACAGAGCTCTCTTATTGCTTTTGTTGTTGTTAGATGCCATTGAGTTGTAGATGACTCATAGCAACCACAGTAAAACCAAACATTCAGCTCTTATTGGACATGATTACCTTCCCTTTCCATACAGATCATGGCTTATGACAGATCGTATAACTACAGTCCACCTCCAACTGACTTCATAAGCAACAAGGAGAACTTGATCACATTTTTAATTTCCATGCATTTAAACACTAAGAAAACTAAGAAAAACAAGTGTTAGTGTTTAACAATAGCCTCAATATTTTGATGCTTTAAGTACTTTAAAGAAGAGTGAGTTGATCCTCCTATGCTCACACATTATTTTAAGTACAAAAGAAGCTTTAATTTAAAGAGCAACACGTTTACATACAAAACTGTGAACGAATCATACAGTCTCCCTCCCCCGATGTACCTGGGTCAGTTTTACCTTCGTACAACATCTTTATTTTCCCTGACTTTGTCTTGTTTTAACTTGTTCCATTTAAATTTCATCCCTGTCTTCTTTATTACTTCTTTGATGCAGGCTTCATCTAAACGTGAGTTGGCTTCTAGAGAATCCAGGTCAATAGTGGTGTTCAGTAAAGCTTCATATACACAATCTGGTCAGAATCAAATGAAACCTTTTAGGATCACTTTCAGCAAGCAAGGTTGTATCATCAACCTAATGCAGCTTGTTGATTAGTCTCCCTCCAATCCAGACACAACATTCTTCTTCTTAAGACTCTAGCATCTCAAGTGATTTGCTCAGCATACAGACTGAACAGGTATGGAGAAATGAAACAGCCCTGATGCACACTTATGTTTTCTTTTAGGCCATGCAGTGTTATCTTGAACTGTCTAGAGAAAAAGCTTCTTCGTCTAGGGACGTACTAATAGTTTAACAAATGTAAATCATTAATTTTTCCTTTTTTCCAAAAGCGCACTTGCCTTGCCATTTTATTTTTTTTTTCTTACAATGAATTTTAATGTCAGGATACAATGGAAGTTTAAAGTTTGTTCTAGTAATCAATCCTAAACTGGCAATAAATACATCAATGGCATAAAGAAATAAAATGCTTTTTAAGTAGCAGTGAAGCTCTTGACTTGCAGGTTAAAAACAGGTTAAAACTTTTAGTCGTTATTACAAATATTTATGTTATCTTACTGACAAAATGAATAGAAAACAGACATCAGAAAGCCAAAGGAAGGGAATGGGTACAAGTATGGCTTCTCAGGGGAAAAGCATTCGGTAGATTTACAACTCGGGTTCACAAATTTCTGAGAAACTTTTCACTCTTGTTTTTCTCATGTGTCATCGAGTTGAAACCAACGCATAGCTGACCCTCCAGTGGGTTGTCAAGAGGCTGCTGATCACATGGGGGGACAATGCCCATCAATCTCCTTGGAGCAGCTGATGCATTTAAACTGCATCCCTTTGGGTTGACAGCACAACTCTTTACCCACTAGGCCACCAGAGCTCTCAAATAAAAGAAAAATCTTAAGAGACATCTATTTCAGCAAAGTTGTTGTTGATTGCCTTCGAGTCAAGCATGAGTCAGAGCGATCCTATGAACAAAAGGCCTGAAGCTCCTCTACAACCATCGACATTTATCAAAGTTCATAGAGTCTCCAGAGGCATGTTGTTTAGGAAGTGGATGCCGCTCCTGCTTTTAGCAAAGAGTCAAGAAATGAATTATGGCTTGTGATCTAAAAAGTATAAAATATTAGAATCACTTCATCTCTTTTCAATTTGCCTGTCTGCTCAGTTCTTTCTTCCTTCAGTGCTTCAACCTTACAGCAAGTCAAGCAGCAGGTGCCCCTCGCCCCACCCTTCTGCTTATAAAGCTGTCGGGCTTACCCAAGTCTCTGTCCATCGCTCGGGCCAGCTCCTCCACAGTCATCCCCAGCCAAACCTCCACCTCCTTCTTAGAGTTCGTCAAAGGTAACAGAGATCTCCTTGGGTTTCCTTCCTAGTAAACATTTTGTGAGAATATGCAAAGAGGAATGAAGTCAATAACGGAAACGGCAACTTTAAAATTTATCCTGGGATATCTACCAAAATGATACCTTCTATTTCTACCAACAAATACTCCCCTAAGCTCTTATATCTTAAGCTAAAAACACCGCATCCGGAAGTCACTGTTATACACTGATACTGAAGTATCACATCCATCAGCCTTGCCAGACAACCAAACATGACGTGTCTTCCTAACAAAGATCTATTCCCTCGACTACAGTATTATGGACTAAAGAGTCCTTAAAGAATAGAATTCTAAAGATGGATTTCTATTCAGGCGTTGTGACCTCATACCCAAGATACAGTAACTCGAAGGGATGTGCACCTACCTTCTTTGTCACTAGAAACCTATACTGAGATAAAGCAGCCCCATTAAGTGTGTCTGTCTGCCAGGGCTGGCCAGGCGGTGGAGCTGTCCATACTGGGTGGCCAGGTCTCCAATGCACCAACGTTCTCCTTTGACGCAGGCTGTGCAGCCGCCTACAAACACCGTGAAATCGCAGCAGATTCTCCAACTTCATCATCTTCTGGTTCATGATTTGCTTGTTAAAACAAAACAAAGTAAAACTTTAAAAGGAACATTTTGCTAAGTACTCAAATCACGTTAACCAATCTTAACTGGAGGTTAGCACACGTTAAGCGTGGTTGCTGGTGTGAGAATGATGACAATGACCCTTATGAACAGTTATAAACTGGACCCTTTCTCTGAAAGAACTAACAGCCTAGCCAACAGCGGGACTCCAGGCTAGACATTACCTAGATACTGGCTCGTATGACCGTGGATGTTAATATCATCACAGAAGGGAGCTCTCGTGATCTAGTCCTAAGGACTTGCTCCGCCAACTCAAACACATGCAGTTTGCATCTACCATCTAGCTACCCTGTGGGAGAAAGATTTGCAACTTCCACCTTTGCCATTTACAGAAAACTCGCTGGCAGGTCAGCTACGGGTCAGTTCCAACTGCACAGCATATAACAACAACAGAAGTGACGTAAGCACGATGCTAAGAGCATTAAGGGTTGGTTTTCATTCAAAATGCACTGACTAAACAATCCACAAGTAGGTGACTTTTCTAAAATGCAAATCTGAATTCATCACGTTTTTGCTTCAGACCCCCCAGTAGGTTCCCTGACTCCCAGCATGAGGTCTACTCCATACCACAACATCCAGAGATTCAGTGTCTGCTCTCTGTTCACCTCTTATTTCACCTCTCACCACACTTATTTCCCTGACTCTTACCACCTAAACCTCTGCTATGCTGACCCAACTGTAATCTCCAGTAGTTTGTCTGAACCTTTGCATATGCTACCTCTACCTGACAAATTCAACGCTTAACCTCTCTCCAAAGGGTTTCCTCCAACAAAAGACATTTTATTATGCGCGAAAGGAACCTCATATATGTGTGTGTGAAGCCCCTCTACAACTACTGACATTTACCAAGGTACATAGAGTTTCCAGAGGCATGTTGTTTACTGGGGGGGAACGAGATATAAAAGAAAGAAATGTGAGCTTATTCTGTGGATAATAGTGGAGAAATGACCTCACCAGGCACCTTGCTTGGAAGTCCACTCTGACATGTACCTGTTATTATTCTCTGCATTGAGCAAGTCACTGGTTTCCTACTAACTTCATTTTTTTGATCTCTGAAAAAAAAAAGGAAAGAAAGTTTTTGAATGTTTGCCCTTTTGTCTTCAAAATAGAAAGGAAGGTATAATAAAAAAATGTATACTTTATTGTCAATCATTTAAAAATGGAAACATGCTGTTGTTATTAGGTGCCATCGAGTTGAGACTACAGCTCACTGTGACTGTATGAACGTTGCCCGATCTGGGCCTTACCCTGTCCTCTGCCAACTCATCATCCCTATCTAAAAGAACAAAGCCTCTACAAAGAAATATAAGCAGCAAAGTGAAATACTTAGATGTTGAAAACTATAAAAAACATTGTTGAAATAAATTTTAAAATATAAAAATAAGTGGGAGGACTTCCTTTGTCCGTGTTTTAAAAGGTTTAATATTGGCAAGATATTGATACTGCCCAAAGCAATCTACAAATTCAGGGAAACGTCTCATCTAAACTCTAACCAATCTACACATTCAGTGAAAAGCCTCATCTAAACTCTAACCAACAGTCATCTCTGCAGAAATGGAAATGCACGAATGGCTCGGTCAAAGGCATTGCCAACGAATCAGAACAAAGCCTCCGCTGGGTTTCTGAAGTTGTAAACTGGACAGGAGATTGCCCATCTTACCCCCGCGAGCCCCTGGTGGGTCTGCACAACCAGAGAAGGCAGCCTATAGGATGGCAGCACAACTCCCTACAGAGTACGCTACCAGAGCCCTCTATGTAGAATGCCGAGGGGCCCACATAGACAGAAATCGTTAAGATTAAAGAGGAGGCACATGGCCTTGTTTCAAAATATATTATACACTAATGAAAATAGCTGGGTGATGGCAAAATAGTAGACATATTAGCCAATTGGAGAGAGTGAAGAGACCAGAAAGCAAGCTAACATTCACAGTCAACTGACTTTTCTACAAGACTGCTAAACTCACAAAAAAGGGAGCAGTCTCTTTAAAAAAATGGTGCAGTGGAAACTGGATTTCCAAATGCGTAAGAATACAGCAATACTCACACTTCATAACACATACAAAAGCCAATTAAAAATGGGTCAAGGGCCTACATGTATGTCCTAATACTGTAAAATTCTTAGGAGACAATATTGAGATAATGCTTCAGGGCTTAACAAGAGAGTCTTAAGACAGGATACAGAACTCATGAACAGAAAGAGACAAAATAGATAACTGGACTTATTGAAAATAAAGAGCTTTTGTTCATCAAAAACCTTTATTCACAAAAATTAGGAATTTTTCAAGAATCATATCTCTACTACGTATGGCTGACAATCTAGGAATTGAAATTCATAAGTTTAAATTATAAATGTGTGGCTACAACTTAGTCATAAAAAGACAATGGACAAAAACAGCCAACACACCCGTGATAAGAGGCTCACCATCACTGTTGTAGTTGACCCCGCAGAGAGTTTTCAGAGGCAGTTAATCCCACAGGAGGAGACTGCCCATCCTTCTCCCTCAGAACAGCAGGTGGATTTGAACTGCGTGCCTTCGGGATTACAGCATAGCTCCTTAACCACTAGGCCACCAGAACTCCCTCGCCACCATTAATCATTAAAATAAACCCCAGGGGAGCTCTGGTGGCCTAGTGGCAAGAAGCTGCACTGCAATCCCAGAGGAACACGGTTCGAATCCACCAGATGCTCTGCCGGAGAAGGAGGCGCAATATCCTCCTGTACCAGTCAGATCTGATTTGACGGTACACGTACACAAAATAATAAAAAAAATTTAAAAAAAAATAAAATAAAATAAACCCCAACTCACTGTTGCTGAGTCAACTATGACTCCTGGTCACCTCTATGTTACAGGGTAGTATTGCTCCATAGATTTCCTGGCTGTTACATTTATGGAAGCAGACTGGCTGCAGCACCACTTGGCTGGTTCGAGGTGCTAATATTGAGGTCAAGCACAAACTGTTTGTACCACCACCCAAGGGTTCTTTCTTAGTCATTATTCAAACTCATTGCCATTGATTTGGAACCAGTTCATACCTGACCCTCCAGTGGGTCAGACCCACGAGAGGATCTTCAGAGGCTGTAATTGTACAGGAGGCGACTGTCCCTCTTTCTCCTGTGGAGCAGCTGGTGGATTCGAACCACACGACTTTGGACAGGCAGCACAACTCCTTATCCATTACACCAAATCAATATGACAGTGGAATGCAAATCAAAACTAGATTCACGGGGAAGCTCTGGTGGCCTAGTGGCAAGACGCTGCACTGCAGTCCCAGAGGTATGGGGTTCAAATCCATCAGATGCTTTGCTGGAGAAGGAGGGGGCAATCTCCTCCTGTACCAGTCAGATCTGATTTGACGGTACACGTAAAAATAATACAATAAAAATGTAAAAAAAAACCCAAAAAACTAGATTCACAAAAAAGAAAAAACTCCAACACAATAACCTACTACATTCAGCCCTAGGGAGCTCTGGTGGACAAATGGCAAGGAGCTGCACTACAATCTTAAAAGTACATAGTTTGAGCCCACCGGGTGCTCTGTGAGAGAAAGAAGGGCAATCTCCTCTCAATCGACTACCTGCCTCTGAAAACCCGCCAGAGGGTCAGCTATGGGTCAGTTCTGATCCAATGGTACGCCAACCACCACCAGCGCATTCACCCCTCCAAATTAAAAAAACAAAACAAAGTGCTACCAAGGATACCAGCTATAATGCAAAATGATACTGCAACTATGGAAAATAATTTGGAAATCCTCAAAAGGTTAAGCAGATAATTCTTTTTTTTTTTTACATTTATTTATTATGCGTGTACCATCAAATCAGATCTGACTGGTACAGGCGGGAAATTTTCACTCCTTCTCCGCCAGAGCATCAGGTGGATTTGAACCGTGTACCTCTGGTATTATAGTACAGCTTCTTCCCACTAGGCCACCAGAGCTCCCCTCAGATAATTCTTTTATGACCAAGTAAACCCAACCCTAAATACATAGTCTGGGCATGGCTTTTCACTGCAGTACTGCTCGTAACAGACAAAGTGGCAACAATCTAAAAGTCCATGAACACGAGAATGAATAAAATACAATGTGGTTTGTCCACCCAACGGCATATTACTACTCTGCTACAGGGAGGACTCTGGTGGTCTAGTCCATAGAGACCTGCTCTGTAACCTGAAGGCCACGCCTCCTCAAGATTCAAATTCCCTGTCTGCTCTGCAGAGAGAAAGATGGACCATTTCCATCCTCCCTCCCTCCTCAGGGAGATTTACTGCCTCCAGAGACGGCCAGCTGTGAGCTGCCTTGACTCTGCGGGAATGAGTATTTTCATTAAAGAGAAAGACGCTCTGCGTTAACATGGATGAGTCTAGAAAACATGCTGAGTGAAATAAATTAGTCACAAAAGAGAGAAATATTGCAAGAGCTTACATATATGAGATCAAATGCAGAGATTAAAATGTATTTATTGGTCTTGCAGGGTGGTGTAGGAAGTCCCTGCTCAGTGGGCACTGAATTTCTGTTAAGTAGAGTGGAACGATTCAGAAGACATACCAGGTCATCATGATTCAGAATTGCCTCAGTGACAATGAATTTGGGGTTATTTTAATGACAAATGATGGTGAGCATCTTTTCCTGCACATGTTGGCCATTTCTGCTCATTTTTAAAAACTGACTGCCCATTTTTATTAGGCTGTATTTAGGATTGGGATTAATGATTTTTGAGAAAATAGAAAGCTTTAGTGGCCTAGTGGTTACAGAGTTGCGCTGCCAACGTATGGCAAGTGGTTTGTACCCATCCATCTGTTGCTCCATGGGAAAAAGATAGGAAATCGTTTCCCAAGTGATTTACCACCTCTGAAAACACACCTGAGGATAAGCTATGAATCGGTTCTAACAACACAACATAACAACAACTGAGTAAACAACATCAACCTGGTAAAACAAAATGAAAAT